ATCAATTAAATGAATAGAATTTACTGATATTGGGGATGAAATTTTTTTCCATTACCAAAAAATAAAAAAATCAAGAAAATCATCTATCTTTTGATGTTCGTTTGACTTTATTTTAAATGAAAATTGTCAATTAAAGGGAAATATTTTTTTACAACAATTCTTAAAATTTGTTTCCATTACCATTACCAATAAAATAAAATAAAATAAATAATAAATAAACAAAATGCTACAGTAACATGGAATTCAAATTCTCACAATTTGATTTTCCTTAAAAATCAAGAAAAGATCAATTCCCAAAACAAGCAATAAAATGTAATTCCATGGAAATAAAACCCTATCAAACACCGTAAAGTTAGAAAACCATTTTCCATGAAAAAACCAAAATATCAAACACTACCTAAATTTTGAAAAAATGGGGAAAACATTTAAAAAACCTCATAACGGTCACCCAAAACTCTCGAGCATGCCCTAGGGCTTCCCACTGTACCAATTCTACGAGAACTGGAAACGTTGTATCAGATTCATTTGTGTAGAAACGGGGCTTAATTTAATGATTTTGGACTGAGATTTGATTGTTGTTAATGTTATAAATTTATGGTATAAATATAAAATGTGAAAGAAATAATCAAATTAGATAAAGTGCCAAAGTGGTGGGAAATGTGACATTTGTGTGGGATGTCAGGGGATCGAATCACTCCCCACGCAAATATTAAAATGTCTTGATTGGGGCCTTGGGCTCTTGGGCTTCCTTGACTAAAATAAATATTTTTTTCTTCATTATTTAATGGGTAAAACTAGCCAATATTTTATGACTGTTTGTTTTTGTAACAACCCACTAACTGCCATTAAAACACCCACTACTCAGTCATTAAAATTCTGCATTAACATAGTGAAGACTATTACTACCATCTTGCCTATATAAACCCGTATCTCGCTTTGGGAAAAGACACACAAAAAGAAAATAGAATCAATCACTCTTTTCATATTGTGAATTTCTTATATTCGGGTTTTTATACATATTCTGGAGTACAATTAAGAGTTCTAGAAAAACCATTCGTGATTGCTGCATAAGTGGTTTACGATCGTTGTATCCTGGGAGTGATTGTCCACGGAGGTCACAGCAATTATTGACGGGGCAATTTCACTTTAGGACATCGTGCTGTCACGAGACTCGATCGGACGATAAGTTTTATATTTCTGCATTATATTGGTCTGATCACTGCTGCAACTAATTATTTTTCTAACAATCTAAAGTAAAATTATCTTTATAATTAGTTGCCATGTCTGCCGTAGATATATCTGTTCCTAAGTATTCTGAAAAGTCTGAGTTGTTTGATGGAAAGAATTTTAAGAAATGGCAAATGAAATTGCGATTTTATTTGACAACAATTAAAGTCGTTGATGCTATTGAATTAGATAAACCCGATTTTACAATTGCTGATCATCCTACTGATAAGGAAACCGAGGATTTAGCTAATTGGGAACATAAGGATTATATGTGCAGAAATTATATTCTGAATTGTTTGACTTTAGATTTGTATGATGTTTACTACTCGTGTAAATTTGCAAAAGAGTTATGGAATTCATTAGAAAAAAATATGCTACAGAAGATGCTGGAACCAAGAAATTTGTTGTGGGAAAGTTTTTAGATTTTAAAATGAATGATGTCAGAACTGTGGTTAGTCAGGTTGAAGAATTGCAGATTATAATTCACGAAATTATTGCTGAAGGATATAAAATCTGTGAGGGCTTTCAAGTGTCAGCTATAATTAAAAAATTGCCACCTTCTTGGAAAGAGTATAAAAATAGTTTGAAGCATAAGAGAAAAGAAATGTCTTTAGAGGATCTGATTATCAGGATTAGAATCGAGGAGGACAATAGAATGGCAGAACATAAGGAAAAGCCAGACTTTGATACCAAGGCTAATCTTATTAAAGGAAATTTTGGGACTAAGAAACCAATTGAAAATTTTACAAGGGGTCAGAATTTTAAAGGCGGAAATAAGGGAAAACAATTTTTAGGAAAGAACAATCGGTCTAAACCCCAATTTAAAAATAAAAGTGTTGGTGACTGTTTTGTTTGTGGTAAACCAGGTCACTTTGCAAAGAATTGCAGAAATAGGAAAGGAAAAGCTGTGAAGCATCAGGCACATGTGGTAGAGGATGGGAATTTCTCTGCTATGGTGACAGAAGTGAATCTAGTAAGCAACATGACAGACTGGTGGGTAGATTCTGGAGCTACCAAGCATATTTGCTGCACGAGAGGTGCATTTTCTTCATTCACTCCCACTAGTGATGGAGAATGTCTGTTCATGGGCAATGCTTCCTCCTCCAAAATAGAGGGGAAAGGAACTGTGACGCTTAGATTTACTTCTGGAAATATCCTTAATTTGAAGGATGTCCTTTATGTACCTGATATTAGGAAAAATCTAGTATCTGGATCTATCTTAGTAAAAAAGGGTTTTAAGATTGTATTTGAAAGTGGTCAAGTTGTACTGTCTAAGGGTGATTCCTTTGTTGGGAAAAGGTATGCAGATGAGATTTTGTTTAAACTAAATATTTCAGTAATTAATAATAAAATATCTAGCTCTTTTGTTTACTTGTTGGATTCTTACGATTTCTGGCATGCTAGACTTGGACACGTTAATAAAACTTCTATTAAAAAATTAATGACTTTGGGAAACATTCCCAAAATCGATAATTGTCCAAATTCAAAATGTGAAACGTGTGTTGAATCTAAATAATCTAGAAAACCATTTCCTCGTGTTGATAGGACTACTTCGGTCTTAAGTTTAATACATTCTGATTTATGTGACTTAAAAGGATATGTTACTCGTGGTGGAAATAAATATTTCTTAACTTTCA